CCAATGATAAAAGGTCCCATTCAGAGCTGCGTGCCCTCTTGCCCAACAAGAGAACAAGGAGACACTTGACGGCATTCAAAGGCCTTGAGCTCAAAACAAAGGGACACAATTTTCTCCACTTTGTCTTCTGAGTTTTGAGGCCTGTCCTGTGTGATGCCAGGTTATAAAAACAAGCAACAGTTCATCCCACTATGCCTTGGCAGAAGGCTTGCTCCAGACATCGACCTGGAGTCTGCACTCTGGGCTGGCTTTCCCTAAAGGCAGAAGCATAGGCTTCATCTGAACAATAATAGATCTGGATTGGAGGCTGGACCCGGTCATCCGGTGTAGAAATGTAAAGTCTCTAAGACTCGTCTCCTTCCTTGCGGTATATTACCAAGTCTCTGATTACTCCTGCACCACTTCTGCCTTCATCCCCATTGCCACGGACTGTCAGCTCCTCTCTGATCCTGAAGTGGCCCAAGGGGCAAAATTACTGAGATTATGTTTGGAAAAGTTTCATAACAGTCCCAAATCACAATGTTATCCTGAACTGATCTATCGAACTGGATGAGCAAGAGCATCTCAACTATTTATTAAATATCACGATGTATTTATTGCTCAGAGAAAATTTACCTGAGTGAGGGAGCAGAAACTTGGAGAAGTTGTCTAAAGTGTAGGACGAGTTGGTGACAGAGCTGCCTATTTTCACCATCTAGATATCATTGCATCCTTCCACCCCAGCCCCTCTCATGTAATGTTTGCTATCTTCTTTCCATGAGAAGCCTCTTCCCCAACATTGATCACATGGAAAAGATCATGGCGGACAACCCTCAAGTCCTGCAGATGATCCTCAAACGGTCTTGCAATAGAGCTTTAGAAAATTTTATTTTAAACATAATTCAATATTTATGCTAACTATTCATATATTGATCAGTATCTGAATATACTAATTTCTCCATGCACTAGCTGCTCAACATCCCATTTCTGATTATAAGAGTCTATAAAGTGTAATAAGGATGCACCTTTACAAGTATAATTTATAGGTAGCACAATGTATGTTTCAAGTGTGAAAACACTTAGGTTTCAGGAACACGGCATCCCTGAGCAAAGAGTCAAGGTACTTACTTACAAGCCAGCTCACAACTGGGAAAAGAAGGTCTCCAAAGAAACCTTGACAATGGAAATCTTGTGTCCCTGCAGCACATGTTCAGTCAGAGACGAGAAATGTTCGAGCATCTCCGTCTCCAAGAAAGATGCCAACTCCTCTCTCCTGCACATCCTCTCCGCGGATTCTTCATCAGGCTCCCAGGAACCGCAACGTGGCTACTTTGAGAGGTGCCTTATTCCCTAAAACAATGAGGTTCTGTCCAATTGTCTTTGGGAGGCATTTATAGCTCGAGGACATCACTCTGTTTTACTGAAAGTACTCAGAGCTGGCTTCTTGGGACATGGCTGGGAGGGTGTTCAGCTAGATTGGGCAATAGCAGATGTTCCAGGGAGACACTGAGACATTCTTACTGCAGGGCATCTAGCAGAAAGGGACTTGTCAAGAAAGGTGAGGAAGAAAAAAATGAGTTCCATAAAACCCAGGGTGAGCTCACTGACCCATTACTCTGACAAAGTTGTGAGTGTCACGAGCTCAAATCCTCAGTGGGTTCCCCACATAAAGGCAATATGAGGGGCAGAACACATTGCTGAAGCCTCCACTCTTTGTCTCAGTAATTGATGAGAAGAAACAGCCTCTATTCATCTGGCTGGATAGCGTTCTGGAATGCGGTGGCTCTGCCCGAGGGGCCACTGAGGAGTACACAGAGCAACATTGTCATTCCCAGAAGAATGTGGATGCCGCTCTGCACAGTAGGCTCGCCCCCACCTCACCCCCCCAACCGCTGCCTCCCATATCTATGGGCAGCAGCTAAGAGTTCTTAAAATAATAAATAGCTGGCTGAAGACTCCCTTCTCAAACCCCAGAATTCCAGTGCAATTCTACTTGACTCAACAGGTTTTAGACCACAGCACAGGAAACTCAGAGTCCATAGGCCTCCCACCCTCACCCGCTATGCCCGGGCACCTTTTATAATGATTTCCCCAAAGCTTTATGTCTGGGAGAAAATCTACAGAGCAGCCAAATCTAGGAGGGTTCGAAGGTGCTGAGTTGAGCAATCCTGCTTACTATGCATGATATGCAAATGCAAAAGTGACCAGGCTAAGTCTCCTGTGGACCTGACTGCATTCCTGTGTCTCCATGCCTCGTACTAGGATAACTCACCAGCCTCTCTTCTCTGCCTGGGAACTGCACACAGGGTAAGCACAGGAAGGAGATGAGGAAAAGCAGGAATCTAGGTTCTTGATTAGCCCTGTCCTGAACTTCTAGAGTGGTACCGGACCAAGATGACAGTGATAAACTTATCTACAATCAAAAAAAGTAGAAACAACTAAAGTTCAGAAATCAAAGAAACTGAATTTTATTTCTACCTATGCCATCTGCAGAGCATGTGTCTCTAAATAGATGATTTAACTTTCTGTGACACAGTTTCCCCATCTAGAAAATGGGGACAATAATCGGCATGCCCTGGGTGTCATGCCCATAACATTATAGATAACAAATACTTATTAGTTAATTAATGAGTAACAGAATAACTAGTACAAAGTCAATGTTGCTTTGAGGATTCACTAAAATAATACCCTAAATGGTGAATGTGCACAATTTAGGAAGCACAGCAGAGAAACATACCTCACTAAAGATTCCTGAGAAGGGTTTTATATAATGTGGTGTTTCACAACATGTGAGCTGCCTGGCACTAAATCTGTCTGATACTGGTTAACAGACTTTCTGTGGAGGAAAGCATTCATGGGAAAACATTCAAGAAATTCTGAAATAAGCAACTACAGATAGATTTAGGTCCTGTAGCACATCTCGGGGTATACTGTAAATTTCCAAAAGATATAAAATGCAGCTTTGTCTAAGCCCATCTGATCACTGGACAGTTTTTCACAGTTATTTGAGGAGAGTCAATATCCTCAAGGGTGCAGTTGGAGAAATAACTCCTGTAGACTGACCCATAAGAAGGAGGTCCCACGGGACTCACACTATGAAATGACCTCTTGGGTTTCTCAGTGGCTGCATGTGTGCATCCTTCCTTTTGCCAAGCCATTTTGCAAAACTGTGACACTTGCAGTTTTCTTTAGGTAATAAAATCTTTTAGGTTTAATTATCATTCACCTGCAAAATGAAAACAAGAACTGATAAAAATGACACATCAATGTGGTGCAGATCACCTGCACACAGCTTCAACCCCTGAGTGGACCTGTGTCCACAGAGGTTAAAGTGGAGGATCTGTGTGACAGACGAACTTCACAACCTCCAGGGGAAGAACTTAGATGATGAGACTTAGCATTTTTTCATGGTCTGAGATTCTTAGAGAGTCACCAAAAGGCCCATGAGAGTCATGGATATGCTCTATGGGGCATGAAAGAAGCCAGAAACCAAAAGAGCCAGGACAGTTTCTCCCAAATCACCCATACTCCTACTCAAGATGCTGCTTTGGAGAAGCAGGACTAGTGACAGGTCTTCATTCACGTTTACATTCATACATATGAGCAATCATTTGCAGTTAGCGCCTGGCAGATTTTGGAGCCATGTGTAAAGTGCCAAATGATATCTGGCTTTGGCATTTCTTGGCATCCTGGAAAAAGATCTTCCCTTTAAGAGTGGTGAACTGACTTGTTCAGGAGCTGTAGGGTGTCAGCAAACTGGTTTCCATCTCAGACATGGAGCTCTTTGTCCATGATGCTGGGACACTCAGTGACAAATTCAAGGAGGCTTTTCCTGAAGAGCTCAAGGTACAAGTCTTGTCTCTTACCTGCAATCCCGAGCCCTTCTGGGGCCGCTGGCACCTGGCAGACAACCCACCTAAGTTCACTATCTCTGAGATCATCTCTGTGCTCAGAAGCACAAAGTACAAAGAAGGGATGATGCCCCAGAAAAAATACACATGCCTTTCTTTACTGCAAGCTACCAAGCTTCAAAATGAGGGATGTTTGAAAAGTTCCCACCTACTCTCTGAAGTTTTCATTTACAAGTAACCACTTAAGAGTCTCCTGTGCTCCACGTTTGTGATCAGATGTAGAAGGCCCAGGGCATGCCTCAGGAGTGTGCAGTATGCTGTGGGGATGAACAAGCAAGTCATTACACTTTACAACGAGGAATAATTTTAGGGCAGAAATGCAAGGGATGACCAGATCTTTGGGAAACAGTCCAAACCTGGACAGAGTGGAAGCTTTGCTACAATGTGTCCTAAACTACAGCATGAGAATGAAAGAAGCTGGTCAAGTGAAGAACAAGCATTGGGAGAGGTGGTTTCCAGGTGAAAAGAAGAAGAAAGAAGGCATGTCCTTGTCCTAGTTTTGCCTGGTTCCATTTGTCTGTTTCCTATTGCGATGTAATGAATGAACACAGAGTGGCTTAAAACATCATCAATTTATCTCTGAATGCCAGAGACCGGAAGTCTGAAGTGGGTCTCATGGGTCTATCATAAAAGTGCTGGTTGGTAGCATTCCTTTCTAAAGCTCCTAAAAAAATTTTTTTTTCTTTGGGTTTGTGACCCTCAGGTAGCAATCACCACCTCTGCTTCTATTATCACATCTCCTTCTCTGTTACTTACCTGCCTTCTCTTCCATTTATACACAGATTATAGTGGGCCATCAGATAACTCAGGATCATCTCCTCTTCCCAAGATCCTTCATTTAATCACATTTGCAAAGCGGCCTGTTTTGCCATATTTGCAGACATTGAGATATGGACATTTTTAAAGGGTGGGGGATAATTCTAGATATCACACCATCTATAGCCCTAAACATAACCACCTATTAAATGAGTTAGCCTCAAACAATCTGTCCAGCTCTCACAGTGAGTGGAAAATAGTTATCCAGAAACTAGAGCTTGACAGGCCAGATCTAGAAACAGTAATTCAAGTCCCATATAGACGTGTCTTAATAATCCAAGTGGTCTATGATACCTGGTCTTTGGTACAAAGCAGCAAATCCCAGTATATTCTCAGTCTCTGTCCATGGCTACGCAGCCTTCTGACCTGGTAGAGAGTCCAGGAAGTTGGCCATTTCCACCTAGAGAAAAAACAAGGCAAAAGTAGTTTCTCATCTTCTCTTACCTTGAAAGCCCTGTTCTGAAAGTCCCCAGGTCTCTAGGATATCCACATCCATGCAGAGATATATATCGAAGTCAAATTCATTTTTAACTGCTGTTCTCCCCCCAAATTCATTTGAGAGTTCATTCAAACTCTACCCAAATCATTATTATAAAAATAAGAATAAATCAAAGGCATACTGAACAAAATAAGCCTGAGTCAGCAATTGTTTGCAGAAAGATGTTCCATTTGTCTAGGTAATGGACAAGGATTAAATGAGTAGAAGAAAATACTATGACCTGGCAGGAGAAAAATAAAAATTAAAAACCTTAAAATGAGAGTCCAAGACTTCGAGTACAGCTTTTCATTTGGTCCATATATTATGAGATCGGTGTAGATGAATATAACTTTTGTTTTCATATTCTTATTTTCTCTTATCGAAAAAAAAAAAAAAAAAAACAGAGAGAGGAACCTAGCTGGGATCCAGAAAGCTTAGCAATCCAGGAAAGGAGAATGTTTCTCCTGTAGTGAGTTGGGGTGAGAATAAATTTTTCTCTCAGCGTGTGTGGATGAGAAGAGAACCAGTGATGTTAGTTACCCAGGAAACTGCTGAGAAGTGCCGTCCCAGATGCTATCAGTGTAGAACGTTTCACCTTTGCTAACTCTTCTTATCTTCTGTCATCTGTACAGTGACTATGAAAAATGTTCTCACTGGGTGTTTCTGACTCATTTTCGTGATGGTCCCATGATGTCTGAAGAAGTTAAAGTTTAAACTCACTCCCTTCCTACTGGTCTGTTCAGCTCTGTGGATTCTGACTGTAACCGGACTGATTGCTAATGCCTGAGTTTTCCAGAAAGGCAGATAATCTGACCAGGGCAGTGGCTGTTATTTGCTGAGGAAAAAGTCACCCAGGTTTTAATTGGTGCTCTTAAAATGGTGCTCTTGAACAGCAGCAATAAATGCAACCCGGCCTGTCAATGTCTCCAGTCCCAACTGGTGTTATGAAGATCTCTATCTAGGAAGAAACTTCCTCAAAGATTAAACAACAGGCTTGAGTTTTGGAGACAATAGAAACATTGTCTTGGGCTTTTGAGACACTACTCCTAAAGGCACTTAGAGAACACAGAGTATTCTTATTGATCCTGACACAATTTATGTATTGTTCAGGAGCTAGCTACAAGTGCTATCAGAGAAAAGTCTGCATTTGAGGTCCCTGAAAACACTAAGGTCAGCCTTACAGTCCCCAAAAGATAGAAATGATTTTTTAAGAAATTTGCCAGGGAGTTCGCTTGCAGAAAAGAATGAGAAACTGAGAAAGCACCACCCGGGGGGGATGTTCACATTGCAATCCCTTCTCTACTCTCCTTCCTTTCAGGATTCTGGGCACACAGGCACACATCCCTGGCATGTTTCTCAAGCCACCAGGTCCAAGACTCAAAAGTCTGCCACATGAGATCCAGCCACCTTAGCCACTGTGCCATCACTAGTGCAAGATGATTTTTTTTTTTTTAATGTGACATATTTCACAATGTCGTGACAGCCACAGGTCCAGATTCAAGGTGCCTCCGACTATCAGTCTCAGTTTCAAACATATCTAGAGTGTGCAGGTGTATGTAGTGTGTGTTTGTGTGTGTGTGTGTATGTGTGTGTGCCAGGCTGTAGCTGTTTGTGTGTGTTTGTGCTGGTATCTATGTGTAAAGTGTGCCTGCTTTCATAGGGTGTAGCTTTTATTTCTTTTGAGAAATTTTTGCTACAAGGCATTTGTGCTCGCCAAAGAGACAGAGAGAAAGAAAGCAAGAAATCACCCCCAGCAGGGATGGGCTCACCACAATCCCTTCTCCATCCTCCTCCCGGGATCTTAGTCACGCATGCACATGTACCTTGCATGAGTTTTAAGCAGCTGCTTTTGGGACTCGAACCACAGTCAATTATGTGGGAGTCCAGTGACATCACCATTAAGCCATCCGCTGGCCCCAGAGGGTGTAACTTTTAAAGTAAGCACAGATTTTAAGCTTGCCAGGGCATCCCCACTGTCATTATCTCCTCAGGTTTGTAGTTCTCTGCAGCTACCCAGCATTTTCACTTTCTCAGTTAAATTAACAATTTTCCTTGAGATAGAAAGAATAATTCAACCCAAGTACTTGGGGCAGATGAACCCATAAGAAAAGAGTAAAATTAGTCTTAATTGGCAACCTTTTGCATATTAAAAGACATGTATTATTTGTTTTGTTTTTTTAATTGCCAGAGGATGAGAGTGGAAGGGAGACAGCAACAGGGAGACAGAGAGAGAGGAAGAGAGAGAAGTTCTTCTCAATGGGGTATTGTCCTACCGCATTCTCTTCTCCATTTCTCTATCATGCCAGGATTTGGGGCACACATGTACATGTACCTTGTGTGTGTGTGTGTGTGTGTGTGTGTGTGTGTGTTTACAATATGTAATATTTTTATTGAAAATGCATGTAAGCTTAACGCATCATAGTAAGTCCACTGTCCTAACAACCATTTTCACTGTTACTGACTTTCCAGTCCTTGTACACATTAAATGGGCTTACCAGACCATAATGAACTACTCAGTGCAATGATCATTTCCCACACCATGCAATAGCACCCCCTAATAACTGCCCTAAATTTAACTATAGAAGACAAACCCCAAAACTTAGCAAGATAAATGTTTATACAAATACAACATAGCAAATCACCTTTTGTGTTTTTAAAGCTGCTGAGTGAAGCAAGCCAGGCTATGAAGGAGAGGCATTGTATGTCCCTACTTAATATATACCAAGTTTCTGCACTCCGTGACTGAAAGAGATTGACTAAAGGATACAGAAACACAGTAAATGGAATATAAATACAGATATAATGTGTGTGAAGGAATAGGGTTTGAGGAAGAACAATTAGAAGAAAAATGGGGAGGAAAAGCATTAATGGGACAAACAAACATGCCAATCTCTGTTAAGGATATTTTATAGTTTAGTCAACTGGACTAGGGAGGAATGTTCACATGTTAAAATATTCACATTGTAAGCTAAATAATGTGATTGTATAAAAGAAAATGAAATTTTAAAAATTTTAAAAATAAAATATCTTCAACAGATTAAAAAACAATATATGGTTTATAATTCTTCGTTCTGTTGGTATGGTGTATTACATTTATGTTTTTGTATGTGTGGAGCCATCTTTGCATCCCTTGAATGAGGCCTATTTGTCGTGGTGTAAAAAAAAAAAAAAAAAGCTGGGAACCAGCAGTTAGCGTAATGGCTATGTCGCTGGACTCCCATGTAGTCGACCGCAGTTCGCATCCGGACCCGGTGGCTTAAAACTCACGCCGGGCGCATATGCATGCGTGCCCAAGATCCCAAGAGGAGAATGGAGGAGAAGGGATTGCGGCGTGACCATCCCCCCTGGGGGGTGATTTCTCGCTTTCTGTCTCTATGTCTCTCTCTGTCTGTTTGGCAAGCGCACGCACCCTATAGCGAAAAAACCTCTCCAAAAAAGAAAAAAAAATAAAAAAGCTTCTGGAGCAAGGATTTGAACTGAGTGGTCAGCCATGTGTGATTCAATTTCCTTAACTACTAAGTCCAAGGGTAGGTTCAACATTTATTCTTATAAACTCTCCAATAACCAAGAGATGTTAGTATATTATAGTATATTAAAATCTTTTACACCACAGGATCACCCAATCCCTTGACTATAGAACGCATAGACTCTGGGTCACACCATAGCTTTGAACTGCATTGTTCAAGGGGAAAGTTGGGTCTGACAACCTAGCTAAGGCAATAGCTGTGGATTCTATGTGAAGAACCAGGAACTTATCTAATGTTCAAACAAAGGAGAGAACACTAAAAATTGAACTGTAACAACAGTAAACTTTGGTTATTTTCACCAATTAATTCACATATTGTTAATATTCTTAAATTGCTATATTTATTTTTATGTAATTTCTCGTTAAAATCAGCTCAGGAGAGATTTTCTTTTTTATTTTTAATTGCATTTTTTTAATTATTATTTTTATTTAACTTTATCTTATTTATTTACTTATTTATTTTAATTTGACCAGAGAAGGACAGAGTGAGAGCAAGAGAGAAAGAGAGGGAAAGTAAGAAAGCAAGCTGTCAGGTCTGGGACTTGAGCCACAGTCACTCATGTGGGAGTCTATCACCCTTAACCACCATGCCACCTGGTGGTCCCCTTAATACAACTTTTTTAAAGAAATGTAAGTTTTTCTTGCAATTTCAGGGACATGTCTCTGAGTATGAGTGTGAATGCTCACTGACCTAGACTATTGATCTGTAAAGTAATTGGAGACACTGGGACCAGCACTTGGCATGATGGCTATGTCGCTGGACTCCCACGTAGTAGACCGCGGTTTGAGTCCCAGACCCGGTGGCTTAAAACTCACACCGGGCACGTGTGCGCGTGTGCCCAAGATCCCGAGAGGAGAATGGAGGAGAAGGGATTGCGTGCGTGCCCAAGATCTTGAGAGGAGAATGGAAGAGAAAGTATTGCGGAGTGGCCATCCCCCCTGGGGGGTGATTTCTCGCTTTCTGTCTCTATGTCTCTCTCTGTCTGTCTGGCAAGTG